AAAATTTATAGCAATCGTAAGTGTGGTAAGTAACTTTACAAAAATTTAAACAAAATCTGGCACAGTGACAATCATAAGCGACAACAAAATATGTGGCAGCACCTTCAATCATGCTAGAACAAATCGACCGTCTTGCAAGAAACATTGATGTTTATTAATTTGAATTGGCATCCTTCCAATAAAATCATGTATGCATATAAAGTCCATAAAATACACCAATAAAAATTTGGTGCTTTTTCAAATTCATAACTTGGCAATATTGCCTTTTGTTCGATGCTTCCTCTTTTTCTTGTCGAGTTCGTCTTTCTCTCTCATTCTGGTATTTTTGACGTCACGGCCANTTTTGCTTACGTTCTGGCATTTTGACAAGTCCAAAAAGATAAGGAATGAACCTATTGTCACATGAGTCTTTCTGTTTTCACTAACAAACTAGCGCATTGAACACACTCAATAGGTTTGTATAGTAACCAATAGGCAGTACTAATTTGTACTGGAACCTGCAAATTTTTACTGGAAAAGTGTATGATAACCCAAAAAATTTGCAGGAGAGCAACAAATCGAGAGCGCAACAACACGGGAGAGCTGCAAATTCTTGCTAGTGAAATTTCTACTAGCAGAAATTAGCTAGCAGAAGAAGAAGAAGAATAAATGTCAAAAGCCGCCATTTGTTGAATTGGTTTAGCACAAACAAAAGTAAAATAAGTGAAAATTGAAATATTAATGATGTACTAGACTGTGTAAGTGCTTGTGTGAAAAGCAAAGAGTTTAAAACCGATTTATAAATAGTAAAATGTTTACAGCAGAATATCAAAAGGGTGCAACAACTATTCACTTGCAAGTTTTTACTAGTTTTGCGTTCAGTAACTTTTTCTGCTAGTTTTCTCTTCTTGTCAATTTTACGCTCTATTTTGCTTTTACGCTCTGGCTGCAATGTTTTACTGGAGAAGTTACTATACAAACCTATTGTTAAAACAGCTGATCTGCTGGTGTCAGTGCATCTTGAACACACCGCCGCATTCGCATTACCTAACCAAAACAAAATAAGGACTAAATACAACAATAACGATGTCCTGGCTTACGAATACCTTTAGGAGGGCAATTACCTCACTCAGCATTCAGCAGCAACTTGTACAGCAGTGTACTACCTTGGCTCCGGCAGCTACTTCATCACCCGTCAATGCTATCGGTTTACGCCACCTTTCCTTCGAGGAAAAACGTGCTAAAGGACCTTTGATACGCCGCTATGGTTACAAGGACCGCCTACATCAGCGGGGGTTGCTTCCCCACTGGGACAATGGACAAAAATTACCAATGCCCGAATATAGACCCAAGAATGTTTGGTCTGAGAAACGTGCGCTGTTCGGACAAAATGATTACATAGATATATTAGGTTCGGATCGTGTGCACCCGGTTCGTGTACTTTATTCAGTGCCCTCCTGGTTGC